CCGTGCTTCTTGGTCGCGCGCACGGAGGGCAAAATAGCAGGGCGGTGTATCCGAAGCCCTGTTGATGGAGTTGGAGTCTGACACCCAGCCCTCCACGGCCCAAATCGTGTCCGGACACGCACGTTGTCACGCCAAGGACGCAAGACACGGTACCAAGGAGGCGCGCAGAGGCGAAACGATGACACGGCGTGAGCATGGACCAATCGCGAATGCTATCCCCTCCCCACCCCGCATTTACTCGCAGCTAGACTACAAAACATGCCAACGCTGGCTGTCTTCTCATTTCCCTGACGATGGCCTCTTATGTGAAGCCAAAAGCTCAGAATAATACAACTGCTGTCCCAGTGATTACGCTTTTGGCTTCTTTACAACAAGAAGCTGAGGCACGCATATTTGCTTCTAGTAGTAGATGTTTTATCTACTGAAGTATTTACCACAGGCCTGAACTGTGTTTTGCTTAGAAAAAGTACTTGAGTAAGGGTGCAACAGTACTCATCTCGCAAAAATAACAACCGGATATATTTCAGTCACGTGAGAACACCGTCTTATTAAGCTCGCAAAAACAACACACCGCAAAAAAACGACTACTTTAGTATTATTAATTTTCCCATGGATTTCCTATGCTCTAATAAGTGTTGATGTATTTGATGGAAAACATGCATGAAAATAATCTTATTTGTGCTCATACGGTAGCAGACTGAGTCTTTGTTAAAGTTTATACCTAAATAAAGAGTATTCTATGGTCTGCAAAAAGTTATTGTCAATTCCCGAATATGTATGAACCAACATGTTGTTATACTTCCATTCACGGTTTCCAAACCACAATCTGTATACAGTAGGTGAGCAAACTCATGTCAAGTTATGATCGAAATTCGGCAAAAGTAGCTTATGTAGGCCCACTCATATACGCCTAGTCCCAGCATTTTGTCCTGCAAAAACGGTGGTTATAGAGTTTTGGAGGGTGGGGAAATAGGAAAGGCAGAGAAGGAAATATTTAGAAGTAAGTGTAAAGTGAAAAAAAA